AAGAAAATAAGTGATGAGCAAATTTAACTTGAACAAAACTACCATGATTCATGCTGTGTACAATCACATGAACAGGGTGTGCCTGGAGACATTATCTAAATGACAGTATTGAGATAATGGGTAAATTGAGTAAACCCATTCCTACTTATTATACCTGGCAGGGGCACAAATGCACATTCCAAACACAAACTGATATTTAGAAGGAGCAAAGGTCACAAGCCTCTTATCTTCTTTTCTTGGAGTTTTCTCCCAAGCACTCAGAATTCCCTCACAGAGCTCCATTCTTGGACCTGTTCCCACACATGGAAATTATCTTGTGATTTTTTTTAATTGTGTCCGATGTAGTTTGAATGACAACAACACCAGAGACTCATATTTGAATACGTTGTCTACAGAGGGTAGTACTGTTTGGGATGAAATAGGAGGTGTGGCCTTGTTGGAGGAAGAAGTGTGTCACTGGGGGGGGAGGGCTTTGAGGTTTCAGAAGAGTCCTGGCATTTCCAGTATGTTCTCTGCCTCTGTTTGCAGTTTTACATGTGAGCTCTCAGGTGCTGCTCCAGGTATCTGCTGCCTGCACCTCCACTTGAAGGGGCGTAAATGACCAACAATTAGAATTAACCAGACTAGCTTTAATATAAAATATTCAGCTTTAATAAGGGGAAGAAGGGGAGCTTACAAAGCCAGGGTTCCAGCGGAACGCAGGAAAACAAAGAGGAAGCGAGAAGCACACCCACAAGATTTATAAGTAAATCTTGGCCTTTGGGGAACTCACCCCACAAACAAGGTAATTGGCTGAGCTTCCCCTTCATCCACTCTGCCATCATGGACTGTATTGCTTTGGGCCCATCCTTTGATGAGTTTCCTTGGCCATGCTGTTTTACCACAGCACATGAAGTAGCCGAGACAGAGTAATACGTGCTAGTCAGGGTTCTCCAAAGAAGAATGGATAGAATTGATATTAAAGAGGATTCATTAAACTAACCTATAGGATGCAGTCCTGTAGGCCAACAATGGTTATCTCACACCAGAAATGTCAAAAATCCAGTAGGCTTTAGTCTGTGAAGTTGGATGTTTCTGCAGTCCTGGTCTGGTTCTGACATCCCAGGTTGGTAGAAACTCGTAACTGTGACTTGGCATGGGTGCTTGAGGTTTCTGTGCATATAAACCCACTTCTGCCCTGCTCAGGGGCCAGGAGGATCAAGGTAGCCTGATCGATCAGTGACCCCACTCATGTGCTGATTTACTAACAAATGTGCTGTTTCACTGCCCATAGGCGTTGTCTCTCTCCCTCCTCATGGTACACAATGCACACAGAGTCCATCCAATAGGACATAGAAAGGAGACCATGAGCTGTCATTAGCATCCAGTCCTGCTCTGCTCCTTGACTGTCAGTGCAGTGTGACAGCCACCTTGAATCTTGATGCCATCCGGGACTCCTGGTTCTGTGACTTCTGCACTATGATAGACACCACCTGGCACTGTGACAAAATAACCCTTCTCCCTCCAGCTGCTTTTGTCAGGTGTCTCAGCAGAGCAACAGGAAAAGTAACAAAGGCAGCAGCATCCACCTGGGGTATTAGAGAGCCTATGTCACTCCTAGTTTGGAGATGCTCTATTAGAGACTGCTGTACCAGCAGACTGACACTGGATTACACTAAGGGGTCGCCCAGAGTGGAAAGACCCAGTGTTGATGGAAACTTCAACTGTAAATATCACTTTTATTGTGACTGTAAGAAGGAGCCAAACTGAAGCCATTTTGAATAAGACTTCCATCTTGAAAAGTAGGGTGAAGCCAGGTTAAAGTTCCCAAGACTGCCCCAGACCTCCCTGGGGAACTGACATCACTGACCTCCTAGTTAAGACATGTATGGTGGGCAAGTCGTCCCCCTGCTACAGTTGGGTAAACCACTGCAGGAAATCTTCCTAGGAAAGTTCCCTATCCCTGAACCTTGACAGGGGAACAATGTAACTGTGACTTGGTGCAGATGTTTGCAGATTTTTCTGCTTAAATAGTTGCTGAAAGGAACTTTCAAAGATGCAATCAGCTCCCGAATCTGTACTGTTGTTCCTGGGCGGTTGATTTTTGATGACAAATTCAATAAAGAACTTCCTTTGTGTGAGCTCTTGAGCCTGCTTGGGCTGTTTTGGACTCTTGGACCTACAATTTGGTTTCATTTCTTAGAAGTTGATTGTGTGAGGAAAATGAGAAACTGCTTGCCCAGCCTGGAACTCTAAGTTTTGGGAAAGGGGTTGCCTGTTTTCTTTGTGGTTTGGGTTAGAGAGACAAAGACCAGCAGAGTTGGCACTCTAACCTGCCCAGCTGTGTCTTCTATGCCAGGGTCCAGAGCTGTTTAGATCAGCTGATAAGCACCATATGCAGGCAGAATGCTGAAAACTGGAGGATACCTGGGCACTGTTCAACACTATTAAAGATCAGGGAAACAAAACAAAGCAAAATAGGAAATTCCCTTCTGTGAATCCCTGTCCCTCTCTATACTATTTCAGTTCTTTGGAATTAAGTAACAATTTGCTTTCTCTGAACTGTCTTTCTCCAAAGCGTCTCTGAACTTGACAGACCCTGAGATAGGACTTTTTCTTCTACTGCTGACAGCTGACAAACTTTAGTGCAGCCTCATGAATACAGATATACGAAAATGTGTATATAAACCAAGCACTTCCTGATAACTCATAAAGAAAGTTATTTTAAGACAGTTCTTGAGTTCATATATGCTTTTATCATTTACTAAAAATGGAGGCAAATTTGCAGATTGCAACAGATGTGTTTTTTTTTTACATAAAGAATTAAATCTTGCTGAATATTTGCTACTGCAGGACATGGAACTTTTCCATTTTTTTCCGGATTTAATGAACATTTTTCTTTCGCTGTTGTCGATGCTAAGAACCCTACTATGATTTAATACTCAATATAAAATGGCAGATGCATGTTGAGGACCATTTTAGAAATAGAAAGAAATTCTCTCTTAATTCCAAGGCAAGAATTATTGAAAGAAATTTTTTTTACAGCGAGTGTTTTGCCTGCATGTGTGTCAGTGTATGACATGTGCATGAACAGTCCATATGTGTATGAACAGTCCACATGTGTATGAACAGTCCATATGTGTATGAACAGTCCATATGTGTATGAACAGTCCATATGTGTATGAACAGTCCATATGTGTATGAACAGTCCACATGTGTATGAACAGTCCACATGTGTATGAAGAGAACACAGAAGCCGGAAGAGTGTACTAGATTTCTTGGAACTGGAGTTACAGAGGGTTGTGAGCTGCCATGCAGGTGCTGGATTCCAATCTGAGTCCTTTGGAAGAGCAGCCAGTTCTCTTAACTGCTGAGCAGTCTCCCCAACCCCCGAAACAGCAATTTTTAAAACTAAGCATTCTCACATGACGCATGATGTCAGGAGACAACACCGGGGAAGCTGGGCCAGAAGCAAGGATGTGTTATACAGTTGATTTTGAATTAATTTTTGGTGGTTGTGCTTTCATAAATGTTTTGGTGTTACCAAGATTTTCACAAGCCTCACACGGAGTTGTGTGACCTGTCAGATTATGATCCACAGAGAAATGGGAGCCATCAGTAGAAAACGCCTAGATCTTCTCCAAGCCCCTGTCTTCATTCACGAGGCTTTGCTGCTGGTGCCTGGGGAAGTCATGGCTGGTGCCACCAATATGTCCCACATTCCTTATTTGTGTTAACATTTACACATACCTAGGACTTTTCTATCTTCAAAATATTTATATCCAAGAAACAATCTCTCACCCCCACCACAGCCTGACTCCCCATCTTCCAGTTCAGTCACCTTCTGGGAAGGTCTGGCTAGGTTTGCAGCTTCTACTTCCTCCTTCTGTCAGACTTCAACCTCCCCAGACTCCCTGCCCTCTCTGTTTTCATCAGACTGGGTTGCTAGGGCCCACAGAGGGACAACCCACCCTAACCCTGGAGTGGCAAAGCCTCTAACTGTCTCACACATCCGCTCATTGCATGTTGAGGAAACAGTTCCCAGCTCTTCTCACCCCTGTCCCAGTCAGCCCTCTTCACTCCTGCACTAGGATCCAGTCTCTTGCCCCACTCTAGGCTGAACTTTTCATATCCGTCAGCAAATGCTGCCTTCAGTGGCAGCTGAGAGCCCACGTTTCCTCCAGGCCTCTCTGGAGTGTGCAGGTCGGCAGCCTTTTTTCTCCTGTGCCCACTCCAGCACCAAGCAGCAGCCCTAGTGATTCTGTGCATGTGAGTCACCACCCAGAGTCTCCCCTCCCCCAATCCTCTAAGGTCCTTTCTCGATAGTCCTTAGGCTTCAGGTGCCATGTCCACCTGCCCATAAGCTCTTCTGTCCTTCCCTTAATTAGGCTGGGAGCCCCTGCTCTCCTGCTCCAGCAACACCCATTTACTGTCTTCTCTCCTGCGTCCCCACATCTGTGTCCCTCCCTTGTACACCCAGAAAGCATTGGTTGGTGTCTAGCACACGTTTCTCAAAACTGGGAGTTTTTAGACACAGTGTTCACGAATGAGAAAATAGAATTCAGAAGTAGGAAAAAGGCAGATCAAATTCTGAGGGGTGGTCCCCAAGTGAACAGGGAGTATCCGGAGAGGACCATTTGTGAGCCCCTTTTCTTCTGTCATACAGTGTGGGTTTCAGGTATACTGAAGTTATCCTAGGGATGGAGTAAAGCTCAGCTGTGGCTGGGGTGAAGTGCAGGCTGAGCCCCGCTAGGGAGCCAGTGTGAAGGTGCACTGGAGACCAGAGTCCATGGGACTGCCAGCTTCCTGGGGTTGACTCACTTCTGTTGAGGGAGGGAGAAGAAAGAGGGAACTGGGAGTGCCCAGGGTCCTTGGGTGTGTGGGGGGGATAGGGGTGGGGTTTACACTATTCCAATCCAGGGACAGCTAGGTGAAACAGAAAGCAAAAGAGAAGTTAACTCAAAGTGAACTCTGAGCTGCTTTGGGTGACTGGGCAGTCGAGGTTTCGCAGGCCTGCCAGGATGGCAGCATCTGGACCCTTCCCACTGCTGGTGGAGGGGTCTTGGGGCCCCGACCTTCCGAAGACCTTAATCAACAAGTTGCAAACATACTTTCAGAGCCGGAAGAAGTCAGGTGGAGGGGAGTGTGAGGTCGTCCTGCAGCCTGGGAGCCCTGCCAGCTTTCTGGTGCTCTTCTCTCCAGAGGACGGTGAGGGACACAAAGGTCACACCCTGAAGGGTTTGGAGCCATGGATGGCAGGTCCAGTATTGGGCTACAGCTTCATGGGAGCAGGAGGTCCTGGGGGCCAAATCTGGGTGGAAAGCACATTCTGTAGTGGTGGTTGTTCCCCTTTCTCTTCCATGAGTTTCCTGGCTGTTGTGAACCTTCTCTCTCTCTCTCTCTCTCTCTCTCTCTCTCTCTCTCTCTCTCACCCTCCCTCCCTCTCTCTCTTCTTCCTTCTTTAATTTTCCCGTTTTTATTATTCAAGTGGTACAGTTAAATTAAGAATCTTGAGGAATTGTAGATCATCTAGCACCGCGGGGTTCTAGCTAGGGAGGGGCGTCTTTGTGAGGTGAGCTTGAGGAGGGAAAAGCCCAGGAGCTCTGGTGGCACAGCCTAGACAAAGTTCCTGCTTTGTCCTCTGCCCCAGGGTGGCCTCAGGTGGCTTTGAGCCTGGGTGGGGTTGGAAGTGGGGTGGCGGTGGGGTTCCCTCATCTCTGAGAGGCTCCAGAACAGTAGAGCAGTTGAAAGTTCCCCACTCCTGTCTGCAATCTGCAAGGGAGGCCCAGCCTTGTTTGCTTTATCAGGTGGGTGACTGGAAGCCCCAGACCTGTGGCTTCTGGAAGGCCACCATCAGTTCCCACCTAAGATTTTGTAGACCAGGGTCATCCTCAGAATGTAGACAATTCCTCCTTCTCCTTGAATTTGGAGAAACATTTGGGGCAGAGGAGGAGCAAAGAGGCCTAGGAAGCAAGGCTGTAGTTAACAACCCATCAGGGATCCAAGAAGAAAAAAAGTAGAGAGAGACTGGTGTGGGGGCTGTAGACACAGGTTTTCAGAAAGCCTGGGTGAGAACCTTATTGTCCTAGGTTTCATTTCACCAGGGCATGCTCCACAGACAGCTGGTAGCAAAACCTGTTTTCTCATTTTCTCTTTTCCTAGAGCAGTGGTTCTCAACCTTCTCACTGCTACAACCCTATAATACATGCTGTGGTGATCCCCAATCATAAAATTGTTTTTGTTGCTACTTCATATCTGTAATTCTGCTACTGCTATGAAGTGTAATGTAAATATCTCTGTTTCTGATGGTCTTAGGCTACTTCTGAGAAAGGACCTTTGACCCTCATAGGGGTTGTGACCCACAGGTTGAGAACCACCTCAGAGGGTTAGAGGGTTCCCAGTTTGATCCCAGCTGTCACTATCCCAGTAGACACAACCCTTATGGAGTGTGTTCTTCTCTTGAGCTCTCTCCCAATGCTGATTGCATGTTAGGGGTACAGACTACTGCATCCTGGTCACAGGGACGTCGGGGGGAACTAGACCCGGCCCAGCTCTATTCTAGACACTTTAGTACAGAGAATGTGGGTGAGTGGGGAAGCATTTGCCACCAGCACTCTGAAGTGACCGGGATATACTGAAGTCTGAAAAATCTCTGTTGTTTATTGAGAGCCTCAAACCAGCAAAATGGAGATCTCTAAGATACTGGTAGTTTAGTGACATACACATCACGGGGAAGTATGGTTGTGAGGATCCAATCCCAGCTGTAGGCTTCGCAGCAGGCCCTGGGTAGCTGAGGTGAAGGCTGGGCTCACACCCCCTTCTCAGCTTTCTCCCTCAGGGGCTCCCAGTCCACAGCCCCCTCTTCTCCCAGGTGGCTCAGCTGATTCCTCTCATTCACTCCCAACACAGATGACTCAGAACACTAAAATGGAACATTGTTGCAGGCCAGTCTTTGGGGTGACTAGAACTTCTATTCACTTTCAGTTTCCTATTTGAGGCCCCACTTCCTCCTCAGCAGCAAGGCAGCTGGAATTTCGCAGCAGATTTACCCTGCAGTCCTAGGGCAGCAGCTTTCCTTTCCTATAGAGGCCCCACCCTCCTTCACAGAAATACCCTGAGCAGACATGAATTCATGTAAACCTACACCAGCTGGGCAGTACTACTGAGCCTACCAGTGCAGTAGTGTATACCAGTACCAACAGGGAGGTCTCACCTTTGTAGGTCAACTGGGTTTTTTTTTTCCCCCTTAGGACAGTGAGCTATACTCTCAGACCCAAACTCAAATCCCTGTAACCCCATTTCAGGTGGACACACTTTATCATAAATTCTAGTCCTAAATGGCCTCCTGTTTATTAAGTGAGGGCCTAGGTATTATTGAAGTAAGGGAACTCATATTCTTCAAAAAAAAAAAAAAGCTTTGACAGGTCAGTGGTGGGGCACGCCTTTAATCCCAGCACTAGGGAAGCAGAGGCACACAGATCTCTGTGGGTTTAAAGTTAGACTGGTCTACAAAGCAAATACCAGGACAGCCAGAACTGTTACACAGAGAAACCCTGTCTCTGAAAACCATACATGCATACATAAAAATCTATTTTTATTGCATGTGTATGGGTGTTTGCTCTTTATATGTCTATATAACACATGCATGTAGTGCTTACAGAGGTCAAAAGAGGGCATCAGATCCCCTGGAATGCATACATCTAGGAAGAGACGGCCATGCTTGGATGCCTTGGATAGACTTCACCAAAGTCCAGGAAAGAGGAGGAATGTAACACAGAGGTGCAGGACATTTGGGAACAGGCTTCATACTGTTCACACAGAGGTCACACTGAGGTCACACAGTCCTCAGTCCCCTCACCAGCCTGTACAGCTTCTCTGGAAACTCCTGACTACTCATAGAGTAGAATTAGAGTCCCATGTTCCTTCTCAGGGGATTCCAACGTCTGTATCTGTGTGGACATCTAAGTGAAGTCACTAGACCTACCGACTTCATGGTTGAGGTGGGAGAGCCATCATGTTTCCCTTTGTGACAGGCTCTGAGCTCATCAGACTAGCTGTCCATCAGAGAACAAGGGGACCCTGATGTTTTGCTATATCTGTGAACACCAGGGCTCAGGTATCTTTTTCCTTGGCCATGCCCCTCCTGTTCCTTTTGTTTCTCTATGTTGGACATGCCCCTTCCTGCTCCTTTCCTGTTCTCTATGATGCCCGCGCCCCTCCCTGTTCCTTTCTGCTTCTCCATAGTGTGAGCGACAGATTTTCCTCTTCTCTCTCTGGCTGCAGCTTCTGATATCACAGTTCACATTTTCTTAGCTCTTCATGTTGTTGACAGTGTTCCTAGAAAATACTTTCAATGGGAAACCTTTGCTCCAGAGTGTTTATTTCTTTATAGCCACTCAGCTAGACTGTGGGTAAATTGCAAATCAAATGGCAAGTCTTTGGATTCCGTTGAGTTTCACTAAGGTCAGCTGTCTGGTGTTCTAATTCAGTTTTTGCAATATCTCCTCTATTCTTGTTTTTTTCCCCTTTACTACCATATGTGGGTTGTTTATCATTTCAATCTAATGGCTGGATTCCTGTTCATTCTGATGATGAACAACTGGGTCACCTCTGTACAGCATGGCTCTCACCCCGTGTACCCAGTTGTCCCTGTAATTATAAATATTCCCACCTTCAGAGCCCACTGAGTACAGTACAGGTTCTGTACTACTACACTCTATGTTTCTTCAATGTAATGCACTGACTGGCTCAAAACAATTCTACTGACCTCAGTAGTCAGTAAGAATACTGAGGCTGTGTAAGTAGGATTTGTGTAGCAGGATGCTGACGGGATTCACCAGAGTTCCCTTGTGTGATAACATATCCAAGATAATCACCTTGAATAGAGGAAGGGTTTATCTGGGCGCAACAATTTTGGAGATTTTGGTTAATAGTCATTTGGCCTGCTGCTTTTGAGCCAATGGCACAAGGTAGTACACCCTATCGGGAACTCTTGGCTATGTAGTGATACAGAAAGGAGAAAAGGGCTTGGGTCCCAGGATCATCCCTTCTCCAGGGGGAATCTGACTTCCTCTAGGCTTCACTTCTTAAAGTTTCCAGGACCTTCCTAATGAACATGAGCTGGCAACCATGTTTGTAATCTCAAGGCCCTTGGTGTACACTCAATAACTAAGATAAAGCAATGAATATTAAAAAGTAATCTGGGCGTGGCAGCATATGCTTTGACCCCAGCATGTGAGAAACAGAGGCAGGCAGGTCTCTGTGAGTTTGAGTCCAGCCTGGTCTATAGAGCAAGTTCTAGGTCAACCAGGGCTGCATAGTAAGACCTTGTCATAATAAATAACATAAACAAATAAACAACACCACCCCAGTAAGTTTAGGGGCAGGGGAATGGCTCACTGGGTTAAATAACTTGCTGTGTAAGTGTGAGGGCTGGAGTTTGAATCTCCAGCCCCCTTGTAAACAGCTGGGCATGGCTCCATGTGCCCAGTGTAGAGGGCAGAAATGGGCAGATCACAGAAAGCCTAACCAACAACCGAACTTCAGGTTAAGTGAGAAACCCCATCTCCAGGCCGGAAGGCAGAGAGCAATGCAGGGAAATACCCAGTGTCCTGCTGTGGCCTCCACGTGACCAGGGGTGTGCACTGCTCCATATGCCCACACATCTACAACATGAATAATGCACACACAGTGACATTCACATCCCCGTGCTGAGTTCTCCTTCTTTTACAAGGGCTTGCTGCTTAGGGAGATGGGCTGAGCTGCTGGCTCATAACAATAAATTTGTAGAAATCATGGACTAATTATGTAGGTAAAGATTGCTTGCAATTTGGCTTAAAATATTTTTTTTTCTTTTTTTAACGTTTCAGTTAGGCAGAATGTTCTGGAGAAAGACAATCATGAGTTAGTGTGGCCAGGAAAAGGGACATTCAAGTTAACTGTCCGGTTGCCCAAAGACCCAGATGAAGCCTCAGTCTCTAAGGAGGCAGTTCCAGAAAAGGTAAGGACATGGGGTGTTATTCCAAGGTGCTTGGATTTTCTATGATGAATATGGGGTAGATGAGCTAGGTGAGGTGGCACCCACCTTTAATCCCAGCACTCGGGAGGGAGAGGTAGGAGGATCTCTATGAGTTCAAGGCTAGCCAGATCTAAATAGTGAGTCCAGACAATGAGACTGTGTCTCAAAAAGAAAAATGGTTGATGAGGGCCTAAGTCACACTAGCCTGAGAATGGCAGTTTGGGACTATGGAGAGGGCAAGGACTGTAAGCAATGGAGAAGCTGTCATTTTTTGTCACTTTTGGAAGAGTCAAGACTGGGGAGCTCAATAGTAATATATTTGGGATGTCAAAGTTGTATCCATTGGTCTTGGTGTCTTTATAACCAGAAGCCTGCTGTTCTGTTTCCATCATCTTGAGGCCAGCAGTGTACCCCGTGTGTGCTGTTCCCTCAGCTGTGAAGAAGATTGTCAGGGACCTCTCTGAAGCACGTGCACCATGTTCATACAGTAAACATGAACTAAGTGCCAAGTCAGGCAAACCTCTGGCTAAGCTGCCTCACGGGAGTCTACTGTGTGTGTCTCATTTCATCAGTGATTATTGTGACCAGCAAAGAAGACACCATGTGACATGTAGCTTTTGATCCATTCACTAGCCTAGTATTCAAATGTGTCATTATCATTTCAATTAATTTACATCTCCAGTCTGGCCCAAGAAATGTTTTATTTATATATGAAATGATTCACAGTCGCTGGGCGGTGGAGACACAAGTCTATAATCCCAGCACATGTGACATAGAGGCAGTTGGATCTTTTTGAGTTTGAGGCCAGCCTGGTCTACAGAGTGAGTTCTGAAACAACAAGAACAAGTTACACAGAGAAACCCTGTCTCGAAAAAAAAAAAAAACCAACTAAACCAACAAAAACCAACCAACCAAATAAACAGAAAGAATTGATTCTTATATTAATGCTGTCTTACTGTTTTGGTTTTAGGAATCGAAGACTAAAAAAGGTACTGCAGGAAAAGGTAAGTCTCCACTAAGGCAACTCTAGTGTTCATCAGGCAGTTTGTGTTTATTAAACAAGTAGCTTGTGTTGTAGGAGGCTGCTCATTCATTCCCGGCCACAAAATAATCACTCAGAAACCATATTATTTGCAATACTGTTTGGCCGATAGCTTAAGCATATTTCTAGCTAGCTGTTATATCCTAAATTAATCCATCTCTGTTAATCTGTGTATCGCCACATGGCTGTGGCCTACTGAATAAAGTTCTGGTGTGTCTGTCTCTGGCAGAGGCTACATGGCTTCTCCTGACTCTTCCTTCTACCTCTCAGCATTCAGTTTAGTTTCCCTCAACTAGCTCTGTTCTGCCCTGCTATAGGCCCAAAGCAGTTTATTAATTCATTAACCAATAAAAGTAATACATAGACAGAATGACTTCCCACACCATTTCCCCTTCCTGTTTAAATAAAAAGGATGGTTTTAACTTTAACATAGTAAAATTACATATAACAAGACAGGTACTAAGCAAGAACTACAATTACAACATTTACATCTACTTTATCTCTTATCATAACTAAAGAAAAGTATAACTATAACTATCTATTCTTCAACTCCATCAAAGACTCCAGAAGGATATAATATTACCTAAGTAAACAGGAAGTGCAGTGTGAGCAACTTCCAAAACTCTAGAACTGACAGAAACATCTTGCTGTGTTTACAGTCACCCAAAGTTCTTCTGCATCATTGGAGCATCTATCTTCAGCTTACAGGCCCATAGTACCTTGCAGACTTTTCCATGAAGCAGGAAATTTCAAAGACAGTTCTGCCTATATTGACAGTTTGTCAGTTACTTTTTTCCGTGTCCTGCAGAATGGCTGGCAGATTCTTTTATGAAGCAGGAACCCCTTTAGGCAAGTTTATCAGTCCTTTCTCTGTGGGTCCTGCATCTCCAGTTCATATAACATAACATCAAGCAGTCCAGGGAAGATCAGGTTTTTGCCCAAATGGCTAACAAACTCCATGAGGAGCCTCTTTGATGCCCGTCTTTCTCTTGAAGTAATTGGTGCTGTCAGGAGCAGATATGTCTCACTGTCATGAAAAGTCCTAAATTTTTAAAGTATTTTAAATGCCATATTCTGAAGAGCTCTGAAAGATTTGAAGAATATCTAGAAACCTAACTAACATGAATACAAACTTGACTACTATAGATGATTATCTATTAGCCTATATTTCTTAATTATACATTGCATTTTTAAATGAGCTACACAAACACAATGCCTTAATCAAGAGAAGAAATATATATAACAAAATTTACCTAAAATTTTTATCACTAAACCACACCCCCTTAGTATGTAAACAAGCATTTTTACACATTATTTGGGAATTTGGGCATAGTTCTCTCCAAACTGCTTCCTGATTTTTGTTGGGCAAAGTATTTTGGGGGGTGTTCACAGCAATCTTTCAGGGGGTCTTGGTCCATCAGACCACATTAGTCTGGAAGACACCCACAGGTCTCATCCTCTGTAGAAACAAATGCAGAACTTTTTTCCAAAGTAACAAATCTTTAGATCAAATTATGAAGTCAAGAAACATTTAAAGCATATATGTTGGTTTAGCTTAGCAGTCTGTACAATGAAAAGTGTCTTTGTACTTAGTTCTTTCACAGTCAAAAAATAAAATGTAGCAAATAATATTCATAATCCAGACTCTATGTGCATTTCCTTCTTTATGTGGCTTATTTTTCTTGCTGTATTACTTTTTCTACAAGTTAAATATTTTACTAACTTTACTCCTTTAATCTATGACTGTCTGTACTCTTATATTACATTTATTGTCTCTTTACACTTTCTGCTCCCTCCCAAGCCTATATATATATTTTAAAACACACTGTGTCTCATTTAGAGGTCTTTTATGTCTGAATCTGTCCTATTGTGTATCTGTAAACCTTTCCTGTCCAGGAGTGCTTCGTAAAATGCTAAGCAGCAGCATGATGTGGGCTAAGGCTTCTTTGCCTTTTGGCTCCTCCCAGTCCATCATGACAGAGGTGTATTCACCACCTCTATGAACTCTGCACACTGCACCAGTTCCGGGTATAAAGCTAGTCTATGTAATGCCATTAAGCAGTATGTAACATGCTGCTCACAAACCCCAAGGGAGCCTCCAGCTCTTTGGGCTTCCTTCTGAGAAATGGGACCAGCTTGTTTGGTGTTGGGAGATGTCTACAGCTGAAGAGAGGAGAGGAAGATCTGGGAAATAGTGATAGACACTTGTGTTTTGGTGGCCAGTAATAGGAAGGACAGGACAGGACAGGACAGTGGATGCTTGCTGTGTGCCTCTCTGGGTAGCAGTGCTCTGTGAGGTGAGCACTGGGTATATCTTAGATGGACCCTACCTTCTGAGCACAAGCCTCATCTACTACAGGAAACAGCCAGCACTGGGACTGGGGTGGAGTTTCCTGTTTCCTGGTCGGTGGGCAGGGCCATGTCCTGCCCAGAGTTAAATGAAGGAACAGCTAATAATACCCATGAAAAGGGCACCAAATGAAGAACCATACTGGATAAGGTGAGCAAGAGCAACCAAGATATGCAGACACCCAAGTCATAGGGAAATGAACTCTTTCCCTCCATAACTCTGCCTTCCGCCCTGGAGACTGGGTCTCTCACTGAACCTAAGTTTGCCCTTTTGTCTAGGCTTGTTGGTCAGGGAGCTCTTGGGATCTGCCCATTTCTGCTCTCCACACTGGGCACATGTAGCCATGCCCCGCTCTTTACAAGGGGGCTGGAGATTCAAGCTCCAACCCTCACACTGACACAGCAAGCTGTCTAACCCAGCCAGTCATTCCTCACTGATGCTGTTACAGTGTAATCCTTAAACTCTTACTTTGTCCAGCACGAGTATGTACACAGCTTCCTATACCTTTGCTCCTGGGGGAGGCCAACAGTAGTTCTCTAATGCAGTGGTCACCTGATGAGCCTCAGCTGTCTGCCGTGTGCCGCAGCACAGAGATGAAGACTCTACCCTGACTGTAGAAGCTTGGTTCTGTAACCACAGTCAAGTACTTGAAAGACATATATGAGGGAGGATTCCCCTTCCTCAGAAAGACAGAGCAGAAAAAGTAAATGAAATTGAGTTAGTGATGACAACAACAACAACAAAGGAAAAGAAACCAATGCTACTTTTTGTTTATAATTTACTAACAACAAGAGCAACAAAAACTCACGGTATTACATTTTAGAATTTTGTTTTTCTTTGTTTTTGAACTTCCTCTGTAGACCAGGCTGGCCTTGAACTCACAGAAATCTGTTGACTAAGGTTTCTGCCCCACATGGTCCACAGCTGTTCAGTCCCAAGGAAGCATACAGAAATTATAAACAGCTTGACCTATTAGCTCAGGCTTCTTATAAACTCTTAAACCTTACATTAACCCATAATTCTTGTCTTTGTTAACCACATGGCTTGGTACCTTTCATCAGCGAGGCATTCTGATCTTGCTTCCTCTGCGTCTGGGTGACGACTATTGACTCAGTCTTTTCTATTCCTAGAATTTTCCTGTTCTGGTTGCCCCTGCTATACTTCCTCCCTGGTCACCCCACCTATATGTCCTGCATGGCTACTGGCCAATCAGTGTTTTATTAAAACAATACAGGCAACAAATCTTTACAGGGTAGAAGAAAATTGTCTCACAGCAGAGATCTGCCTGCCTCAGCCTCCTAAGTGCTAGGACTAAAGGTGTACACTACCATGCCTGGCTACATTTTAATTTTTAATTCACTAAAGCAAAAGATCCACTACCTAATGTTTCTTTTTAGCAGAGTTAGCCAAGATATGGGAAAGGGAGGAAGATTGTCTTAGGATAATTTACATAATAGAACCACGATTTAATACTTTACACCTGTCATTGTCATTTCTGATTTCCTCAGATGATTTGGATACAACACATTCTCCCAGCAACAGATCAGAAAAAAAGGAAGATGTCTCCAAAGAATGTGAAACTGTTCCCTCCATGGTGGCATTTGAAAACTTGCCTGAGAAAGTGACTGACATAGTGCTGACCTTCCTGGTGGAGAATATAAGCGGCTTCCCCAGTACCGACTTTAAGGTGGAAGTGATCCGAGATTTTGGCGTTGCCGTGGTTACCTTTCAGAAGCCTATAGGTGAGCCCCAGGCCCAGGGAGGCCCTGCATCCCCAGACTTCTGTCCACCACACCCCAGAGTTTGGGACATCTCTGAGTATGTGACATTTTGTTGTATTGTGTAAACAGGGCCTCTAAGCCAATACAGGTGGCTTTTCCCCTCAGATTTTCGAAAGATGAACAAATTTATTTTGAGATCTAATTTAGGTCTGTTTAATATACTGCCCTTTATTATATGTTTGCTTGAGTGGGTGGGGTGAGATGGGGTGGGGTGGGGTGAGAAATAGTAAGTCCCAGGTGATTCTAACTGGAGGACTTGAAACTCTTCCTCTACTTCCCCACGAGGAGTTAAGACTGGCCTGTCACCATGCCAAACTTCTATAAGGCAATGATACCAACAGACTTACCCTTAGTGCTCAGTGTCAGGCACCTGCCAATCTCTGCATGAGTTAATTTATTCCTTCCTTTCAACAACCCTGTGACAGGGCTCAATGTTCCTGAGAGATTGAGCCCGGGCAGCCAACTTCCACTCCCCTTTTTCCTATCATATAACCACACAGCACTTCTCATGATGTAACCCTTTCATGGTCATACATGTGGAGAAGAGAGAGCCCACTTAATGTAGAAAATGAGTGCCCCAGCCGGCAAGATGGCAGAATGGGCAAAGGCACTGCCCCCAAGTCTGACAGGCTGAGTTTGATCCCTGGGACTCATACAAGTTGCCCTCTGACTTCGAGTTGCACGCACACACATGCATTGGCATGTGCACACACATAAACATGGAAAAGAAAATTACTGCTCTGTTAGGTCATTGTCATAAGCAAGACCCAGCTCCACCTAAAACATGGCAGATTTCCAAATCTAAGCCCCATGTCCCACGGGCACAGCAGTGGGTGTCAGTCAAGTTCACAAGGGGTGTGGTCAGAATTCTGGTCCTGTCACTTAACTAGTTGTATGAAGATGACCAAGTTATAATTTTCTCTGGTCCTCATCCACTCATCCATAAAATGGGGATGATCTTACTTATGTAAATTCCTGTGAAGATTAAGTGAGATACTTCTTCAGGCATGTTAAGGATTTGTTAAAGACACTTATTACAAATTTATTATTATTTATTATAAAGGGACATTTAAAGATTTGTTTATTTTATGTGTACATGCCTGCATGTATCTGTGTACCACATGCACGCAGTGCCTGAAGCAGCCAGTAGAGGGCATTGGATTCCATGGAAGTGGAGTTACAGATGGTTGTGGGCTTCCAAGTAGATGCTGGGAACTGAATCACAGTCCTCTGCAAAGGCTGTGAGGGCTATTAACCTCTGAGCCATTTCTCCAGACCCATAAAGGGAAATTTAAATTGAAATGATCTTGCTTCATTGAGCAACAATCGTGAGTTCATTCTGTGTTAGCTTCTGTTACTGTAATAAACACCTGAGGTCATCAGTCTCCAAAAAGAGAGGTTTATACCAGTTCACAATTGGGGTGGCTTCAGTTCTTGGTCAGTTAGTCCTGCTGCCCTGGTGCTTATGTTGAGGCAGTCTGCATGGTGGTAGCATGGAGGAGAGAGAGACAGAGAAAGACAGACAGAGAGAGACAGAGACAGAGACAGAGAGGGGGTCATCTTGTCCCCTATCTCCCCCATCAATGACTGGGACATTTCCCACAGGCCTCACTTGTTAAAGGATCCACTACTTCCCATAGCACCTGGGTGAGGACTAAGGCTTTAACACATGGGCCTCAGGGACAGTTTCCTTCCAAACTATGGCCACTGTTATGGGCCAGGTATTGGTTTAGGGGTGGTGGCACAAAGGTCCCTAAAATCATAGTTCCCTCTCTAGAAGAACTAAGTCTGGGAGGAGGAGGGAGGCATGTGTGTCAATGAATAATGGAGACGAAAGAGAGTCTGTCTCCCAGGTGTAGTAACCTGAGAGGGGTGGAGACAGGACCGTGCATAGTTGTCCCCACCTGAGTGTGTCCTCCAGCAGTGTCACCTGACCATCTCCACAGGACACCACGCTTGTTCATACTGGCACTGCTCCCTCCTCTTATCCATTTGGCAACCCCTGCTTTAGTGTTCAAATTAGAGACCATATATAGTCCTTATACACTCTGAGTCTCAGTCCCTGTTTCATCTGGTCCTGATTGGAGCTCCAAAAGGCAATTCAACTGTGCTCAATACCCATATCTTCCCAGTGATATACAAGCAAGGATATCAACTTTTCTCAGATCCCAGCACAATGATTGGCACATGACAGACCCACCATCCAATCTGTTAATTTAAAGAGACAGTTAGGATGAGTCTTGAAGATAAATAGATCAACTGAAAAAAATAAAGGAGGTAGGGCTGTAGACATAGCCCTATTTTGTTACCATGGTTCAATTTAATTCTCAACATAACAATAAAACAAAAATACCTCTGTATCCCATGTTGGAGAAGAACATCTCACACATGGGCACTGCAGACACGGGCACTGAAGACACAGGCGCTACAGACACGGATGCTGCAGACACAGGCGCTGCAGACACAGGCGCTGCAGACACGGATGCTGCAGACACAGGCGGTGCAGACACTGGCCCTGCAGATACGGGCATTGCAGACATGGGCGTGCAGACACAGTACAAGGACAAAAGGAATGTCAAAAACATGACTAGTTGGTTTTTGTCGTTGTTGGCTTTTTTTTTTTTTTTTTTGGTTTTGACTTTGGTTTTTTGAGGCAGGGTTTCTTTGTGCATCTTTAGCTGTCCTGGAACTAGCTCTGTAGACCAGGCTGGTCTCAAACTCACAGAGATCAGCTTGTTTCTGTCTTCCAAGTGCTGGCATTAAAGGCATGCGGCACCACCACCAGATTCATGACTAACTTTTCATGGCAACATGAAAATAAAGCTGAAAGTGTGACTTGGATGCGTGTTTGGAGTCAGGAGCCTGGCTGTGGATGTGGGCTCCTGCCTGCAGGCAGAGTAGGCATCAGGGTCTTGAGAAAATGGAGAGGGGGTGTCACTGAGGGGTGGCAACTCAGTAGGGTTGGCCATGGCCAAAGAACACCTCAGTAGCAGAAAATACAGCAATTGACTTCAAAAACATTTCTTTCATACCATGTAGATATGTCACCAAAATTTTCTCTCTCTCTCTTTTTTTTGTTTGTAGATACCAAAAAATTTATTATTGATTGTATGGGTCACCATTGGAACCAACAGCTGCAGCTTGCCCCGAGACTTCTGGAAACAACCAATGTAGTTAGGGTGGAAAACCTGCCTCCTGGGATAGATGAATACCAGCTGCAGCTCTACTTTGAAAACCCTTTCAACGGGGGTGGAAGAGTCACCCAGGTTGAGTGTTTCCCAGAAGACAGCTCGGCGCTGGTTGAGTTTTCAGACTGCAAAGGTAATGTGTCTTGGCCTGCCACTTGGACAAGACCTGGATGGTTGGCCATTTCAGTCATTCCTTAATCTGTCAGAAATGGCACCAATCTCTCATTCATCTGGATTTGGTGCAGAACGAGGGCAGTAAGGCAGGCTCTGGAGAAGCAGAACAAGCTCATGAGAGACAGGGAGAGTCTCTGAGGAGTCCGGCCTGTGACTGAAGGTCGCCATTCTAGGAACATTGACAGGCCGTACTCACAGCCATAGATCTGTGTTTTATGTCCCTGCATTGATTCTCTAATCAACAGGTTTAGGGAGAAATGGACTCAGAAGCATGTAGAGTTCTAGAAAGCATTCCTGTTCCCCCTGTACTGTCCCTGTGCTGAGACCGGATAATGGGGATTTGTCATAACCTCAGGAGGAGATGAAAGTCCTGTTGTTGATGACATCATCAGTGGTTCTTGAGTCAGACAGACTTGAGTTACAATCCTGATTGGTGGTCACGGGCATGGTGACCTTTGTGAGTCCTCAAACCTTCTGTTTTCTCATCTGTAGTGGTAGTGTTGGAGTTACCTCAGAGGATGCTGTAGGAGGAAAGGAAACAGTCCCTCAGCAGTGCTTGGCCTAAGGGGGTGCTGAGTCTGAGCTGGAGGTCACTCAGGCTGTCCAGCCTCTCTGGAGCCCTGTGGGAGGTTGGGCCTCTGAAAGTCACATTCCTTCCCTCAGGCCTGATACCTGCCCTAGGACTGAGTCCTTCACCAGGGTATCATGTTTTAGCATCCATCTGCCATGGGTGCCATTTAAATCCAAGTTGTTGCGGGATTGATTCTAATTTCCATGCTGATACTACTTACACGTGCCAACAGCTAAAACAAAGTGAGGAGAGTCCTGGAGAAAGAGAGAGAACGTGAGCATTCAGTCAGGGTGGGTTGTGGATGCTGTCCTGGTACACATGGTGACTGGGAGATATAATGGGGAAGGCCTTACTAAATTGTGACCTCTGGGGCTGGACTCTCCAATGACTGTGAGGACGATTTTGATTTGGTATAGGAACAAGACCATGGGATCTGGGTTGGCTCACACTGGCAATTAGCTCCGATACTTGCCTGGGTTTATAGAACCCTGACTTTCCCCAGCCTCGGCTTTCTCACCTCCATCTATGGGTGTAATAGAATCTCTACCTGAGAAGGCCACTGTCAAGAGTAAACACAGGACATTCATGTAAAGCCCTTGGGAAATTGACACATAGTGCTGTCACAATTCTCTTCTTCTGAGAAATGAAGTTAGCTATGGGAGTTAAATTCTGGGACAGAATGCAGAGTGACCCACCTGGAGGATTAAACTTCTTCTCATTCTTCTCCTTCTCCTTCTTTTCCCTCCTCCTCCTCCTCCTCCTCCTCCTCCTCCTCCTCCTCCTCCTCTTCTTCCTCTTCCTCTTCCTCTTCTTCTTCTTCTTCTTCTTCTTCTTCTTCTTCTTCTTTTTCTCCTCCTTCTCCTCCTTTTTCTTCCTCCTTCTTCTCCTCCTTCTCCTCCTCCTCCTTTTCCTCCTTTTTCTTCTATTTTTCTCAGTGTAACAGTTCAAGCTGCCCTGGAACTAACTCTTATAGAACAGGCTTGCCTGGAAATCACAGATCTCTACCTGCCTTTGCCTCCCGAGTGCTGGGATTTAGGCATGCACTACCGCTGCCTGGAAAAAAAATCTTTTCTTAAAAACACATTATTTATTCATTTTTTATTGTATATTAATTGTTGTCTTGTCCGCACGTACATCTGTGTGAAGGTGTTGAATCCCCTGGAACAGGAGTTACAGACTGTTGTGGGCTGCTTTGTGGGTGCTGGAAATTGAACCCAGGTCCTTTTGAAGATCAGCCTAGTTCTCTTAGCTGATGTGCCATTTCTCCAGCCCTTAAACCATTCCTTGTGTTTGTATAAACACCAACACCATGCTTGTGTCTAAATTTGTATCTGTTTCTTATTGTGCCATATACATCAGTGACATCAGAAAAACAATAGACTCAAGCATGATTTCAGTGTAGAGCGATTTGGGTATAAAGTCATCATAGCCCTAAATGGAGTCTGTCTTGTTGCGGTTAGCATCAGTCTACAGCTGAGCACACGGGAGAATGTCACTTTTGAGTTCTACAAACAGCAGAGACTTTTACCCTCCTGAAAAGTTTTTGTTGTTGTTTTGTGTCTTTGGAAATGCATGACATTGAGATTAATGTAATTTATTTATGTATTTGTTTGTTTGTCTGTTTATTTTGTATCAAAAGTGTTAGACACCATTCTGGCCAAGAAGCACAGTTTCAACAGGATGCCACTGTCTGTCTTCCCCTATTATCCTTCTCTGGGCACAGCCTTGTATGGCGAGGAGAAGCCACTGGTCAAGCTTCCAGCATCTTTCCAAGAGTCACTGGGCCTTCCTTTGTGGAAGTTCTTTCAAAAACATAACCATCTGATTGAGGAGATAAATGACAAAATGAGACGCTGTCACTGTGAGCTAACATGGTCTGACATCAACGGCACAGTGACCGTCAGACCTGCTGCCACTTTAGTCAGTCACAGACCAAGCATCAAGACCTGGCAGAGAGACGCCTCCAAGGTGCTGTCTGACATCAAGGCTAAGTACGAAGTTAAGGTGTTTGAAGTGTATCCGCCAGTGTGGGACATCATACAGCATGAGGTAGGAGATGACAGGGTTCTCATTGAGTTTGATAAGGAGAGTCTCACCTTAGCCGGGAAATCAGAAGATGTCCAAGACATCGGCCAGAAAATCAAGGAGTTAATAGACAGCACCACGGAGAAGGTCCGAAAGGAGGAGCAGAGTCTGAAGGAGAACGTGGCCATTTCTCCGGGGAAACATTTTCTTTTGCATCAGAGTGGTTTCCTGGATGATCTAAGGAAAGAGAACCCAGAGATGGAGATTCATTACGATGCTGCCACTCAGCACCTGTGCTTTAAGGGATTCCGTGCAGATGTGTATAAAGTAAAGTGTGACATCAAGGAAAAGGTGTATTCCATGGCTCAGAAAGACGTCCCGATTCCTTCTGAAGTCTTCATGTTTCTGCAGCAAGTAGACAGTCAGGAATTCTCCAAGACTCTTTTTGAGGCACAGAAAATTCTTGCCAAGTATGAACTGAATGGTACAGCGCTTCTTTTGATGGCCTGTTCTTTCAGAGCCCTGGCAGAAGCAGAGAAGGAAATGCTTGATGCTTTGAGTTATAAAATCATTGATGTTGAAGACAAGGAAGTTTTTAGAGGCAATGCGTGGAAAAAGAAAATTCACTCTCTGCAAAAGAGACACTCCTCCAGAGCAAGCATTACGATAAAGGATGACTTAACTTCAGAAACCCCAGCTGAGGTCATCATTGCAGGCTGTGTGAAACAAGTAAATGAAATCTATGGACAACTTTTTGAGTTCTTGGAAAACACCATGAAAATTGAAAGACTGGTTAAAATTGAATCGGTCCTGATTTTTGAGTATTTAAGGTCAGACAGGAAGCTATTCTGGCCAAAGATAAAAAAGGCCAATGTGCAGGCACGTTTTAAGCTAGAAGACGAACCAAAAGGCATTTTACTAACTGGCTCCAAGAGTAAAGTTCTAGAGTGCATGAACATGGTCAGGCAAATCAGGGATTCAGTCTGCATTAAAAGGTTCCAGATTGATAAGCCTGGTGCTAGGCACTTCTTCCAGGACAAAGCATCCTATTACAAAAGCGAGGTCAAACGCCGGTATGGATGCATCATTGAGCTCCAGGAGGGAGCAGAGAAGGACAAAGGCAGCCTTAACGAGCAGAAGTGCCTCTTACAGAAGGACATAGCCCCTGGAGTCACGCTGATTGTACAGCAGGGAGACCTGGCTCAGTTTCCTGCCGATGTGGTCGTGAATGCAGCAAACGAGCATCTGAAACACGTTGATGGTCTGGCCCTCGCTCTTTCAAATGCAGCTGGCCCTGAACTTCAAGCAGAATGTGACAAAATAGTGAGAAATGGTGGCATGGTCAAAACTGGCAATGCCGTTATCTCAAAAGCAGGCAAGCTCCCTTGCCGTCATGTCATCCACGCAGTAGGGCCTCGGTGGGATGGAAATAAGGTCCAGGAGTGCGTGAGCCTGTTAAAGAGAGCTGTGGAACAAAGTCTCACCTTAGCTGAGGAGGTCAAGTGTCAATCCATAGCCATGCCAGCTATCAGCTCTGGAATCTTTGGCTTTCCCTTAGACCAGTGTGTGGCCACCATTGTTTCTGCCATCAAAGACAACTTCCAAAACAAGCCAGACAGGCACATCTTGAAAAAGATTTATCTGGTGGACATATCTGCAAAGGTTGCTGGGGCCTTTGCTGAAGCTGTAGAAACTACATATAAAGCCACTCCCTCCCACATAGCTTCCCCTTCTTGTTTACAAGCATTGGAATTAGTGGTACCTGGGGAAACACTGCAGACACAGGAATATGTGCTGGTGTCTCCAGAAGGCCTTAAAATCCGGCTGGTGGTAGAAGGTGTGCAGAATGTCAAGGTGAGTATCCCTGTCACCAACAATGTGCAGTGATATCACTGGCCTCTGCCAGCTTTATTGAGGGCCAAAGGAAGACAGGGTGGAGAGAAAGGACTGAACAAAATTTCATGCTCTCCTACTCGGGCCTTCAAACATTTCCCATGGACGCTGGACTTCTTCCCAAATCACTTAGCAATAGAGATGGGTGTTTCTGTAAGGATCTGAAGGGCTCTGGGATGGCTCACTACATCCCGGTAACTGTGGTCCATAGTAGGGGACACTGCACGGCTCTCCTCATCTTCATCATTTCCCATCTGTCGAGTCTGCTCCATCTAGTGCTGGCTTCTGTCAGTTACAGGTGTGAGAGAGCATGGGGAATGCAGAGGATAGGAATTTAACCAATGACACCAGGAAGCGTGACTTTGGGTGCTGGAGTGGACGAGGGAGCTCGGTTTTGGGAACACATCTGTGGGTCCTTTGTGAGGAAGCAGTGGGCAGGTGGGTGGGAGGAAGGTCCAGATGTTGGGAGTCATGCAAGGACAATTCTCGTTTTGTATTCTTGTTGGAGGAAACTAATGTTTCCTGGCAGACAGCAAGTCCCAGTAGTCCTTCTATCTCAGTCCTACAAACACACACACACACACACACACACACACACACACACACACACACACTGGGGATATAGGCATGTGTATGTATATTATGTGAATCCTGATGTGAATGCCACAATAGAGAGAGAAGCTCACCAAGATGCCAAGTCTTCATTTTCTGAAGGAGCAGAGGGGTTCATCCTTATGGAAGAGACTGACACCCAGCTCGCACTAGCTCACTCTGGTTACTTCATTCAAGCATATACAAAGTTAACAGAGTCTGGGAAAAGTTCCAGATCCTGTAGTCATCTTGCTTTTCCTGCCTGTGAAAGCAGACAGCCCACACATTATGGAATGCTGTAATCTAAAGTAAGAACCCCAGGTTGCCAGGAGTGTCTTCAGATAAAGGTCATTACAGCTGCAAGCTCTCACAGAGCACCAAGTGCAGAGTCTCCAGAGAGACAACATTTCTTCAAGGTTTAAACAGTCTCAAAACAATTCTTAGCCTCCACTGATCAACCCAAACATAGCAAAGGCTTTGCTGAAACATGTCACTCAAAGTCATGCACAAAGGCTTTACGATCCACATCACTACATGTGTGCTTTACGATACAAATCACTACATGTGTGCATACAGAATCAGAAGCTCCCAGGATGCAAATTCACTGATCGCATAGGGAGTATAATGGTTAAAACAGTGTTTGTGTTTCCAGGCATTTTCAGATGAATTTGACAAAAGGAGTCATGGAAATCCAAGTGACACCCAAGGTACAGTAAAGTGTTTAAGTTGACCAGTGATTTCTTGTTACCAAGTAACTGTTCAATGACAGGGAAAGGATGATGGTGATCATTTCTTTGATAAGTCAAACTGTGGAACATATTAAATGAAAATTAAATGATATTCCATGCATGTGAGTATAAAAGACAGTGGCCTGTTTAAGCAACTCGGGGCGAAGGGAAAGGTGGGCCAGGTCATATAAGCTGTAGAATGGGATTTTTAAATTACTGATGAGACTACCACCTCCAATGGATCATGTGTCATGGCTTTTCCAAGAGACACCTTAAGAGACAATACAAGCCAACACTTCTGTGTCACACGTGGATTTCTGTTTCTGAGTTCATCTTGTTTGGGGTTCACTGGAGCTTTTTATGAAGCAAGGTTTTGCCATGTTGCCTAGGATGGCCCCAAAACTCCTAAATTCAAGCCATCCTCCTGTCCCAGCCCAGAGCCAGGGCCACAGTAAATGGCAGCCAATACAGTGATAGAGCAGCCTGCAACCTCAGCTATTCTTGCTTCTGATGACTTGGTGCCTGATTCTGTCTAATCTTTCCTCTGGACAGGGTTTTATGGGAGGCTCTCCAGCCCTACGTTAGGAGTGCATGAAATGAATATTGGCCCAATCCTCTTCCAAGTGGCCATGGGGGACATCACCAAAGAAGTGGCAGATGTGATTGCCAATTCAACATCAAACACGTTTACTCTCAAATCAGGTACTTAGTGAGATGGATTCTGTCTCATGCAAGAATCAGTGTGATAGATCCTTTGAAGAAGTGTTTCTATAGACAAAATGGTTTGTTGACTTGGGCTTGTTCCTGTTAACTAATATCTTTAAAGTTAATTCAATGGGCTTTTTTACAATTGGCAACATTTTTGAAAATGTCTCCTCTGTCCTTACTGCTCTATGACGGGGTGTGTTGAGACAAAAAGGCGTCTTTCTGGTCAGGTCACCATCTTGATTTTCTCATGTAGGAGTCTCCAAAGCAATTTTGGAAGCTGCAGGACCAAATGTGGAGAAGGAATTTTCTGTCTTGGGTAAGGAGCGATGTTGCTTCTTGGTGCCAGATCGTAAGTGGAAGATTGACTGTGGGAGGCAGTGAGGAAACCGAGGAAGGGCCTTGGGCTAGGAAGACAATGTATTAATCTGTTTTGGTTTTGTTTTATTTTGAGACTCATGTATTCATCTTAATATCATATATTTTATGAAAGAATTCCATATGAAAAATGTTAAAAGTGGAAAGATATTTAACAGTTAAGAGAAATTAATCCCCAAATTTCATGATATGTAGTATTTTGTGAACTTTTAATTCATAAAACGTTTTCTCATGAAATCAGACATCTTGCTTTCTCCAAGCGCAGGTCAGCGTCTGACTCTGAATCTGCTCATGTTTCACAGCTCAGCAGAACAGTGAGTACATAGTTACTGAAGGTGGATCACTGAGATGCAAGAGTATTATTCATGTTGTTGGTGGGAATGACGTGAAGAGATCAGTTTCCTGTGTTTTGGAAGAATGTGAACAACGGAACTACTCATCCATTTGCCTACCAGCCATTGGCACAGGTCCGTAGCCACAGGCTGTCCAGGCTCCATCCCGAAGTGTCCACTTCCGCATGGGTTTGGTCCTCACTGGGTCTGGGTGATGACAGGGACACCTTCCCTAGGAGTAGACAGTTTCCTCACTCCAAGGTTCCCCATCTACTAGGGAAAGAGCAAAGCCTGTGGGTTCTTTAAGTAGAAGGAAGAAAATGAGCAGGGTGCATTTATGTGCACCGGTGGTCCCAATGATGGGAAGGATAGAGGCAGGAGGAGTGAACTGTGTATCCACAATTGTCTACAAGGTTAGTCAAAGGCATCTGCTGTAATTTCCTGCCCCAGCGGTGGGCACCATTAACAGGGATAATTCAGATGGGCTCTCAGTTGATCAAACCAGCTTTCCCAGGAGACTTTTACACTGCCTGTCATGTGACTTCGGCAGCTGCTATTCACTTTGGGCTATTCCCCAGTCTTACCTTGCTTTGAGGGCTTGAGAAACAAGATCTGAACATAGTGAAGACAGGAGTGGATCTACTCAGTGGCTGATTTGAATTCTGCTGGGCAGCAAAAATAGTGCAGAGTATGGGGAAGAAAGACATCGTGGAGTCTCAGGGTAACTAATAGGCTAAAATTACAGATTATAACAAGTATCTTACAGCCTTATATTACCTTAGTTTAAATCAGGTTCCCAGAGGTATCTGGCAGAATCCCCAGACATGCATAAAATCTATCAGATGCTAAGATTGTTCTGTAAGGACCATGTTGTTTCAAGATGCATTATCATTTTTTCTTCTTATTTTTTGCCTTTTATGATCTTTTGAAGACTCTAGTAAATCAAGGAGGAAGTCACCTGGACTCTGTAATGGGAGGGGAGTTACCCTGGGAGCCAGGATCATCTGAAAAGGACAGATGTGAATGTCACCAATCAGAACGGGTTTCAGGGTCTTGTCCTGGAGCATTGGCCTGTGGACAGCATGGAACAGAAACTCCTCCCCACTGTGTCTAGGATGTCAAAACTATTTGATGACATCATGTTAGAGAACTATATAGCGATTAGGATGGGGCCAGGCATTTTTATTTCCTGTGACATCTGGAATTGCTAGTTTATGTAGCAGCCTTTTAAGCTGGTGGATCTTAACCTTGTCTTTTGTATGTGTTTTAAAGGAAGTGCTCAACAGGACCCAGATGCAGTTGCTAGAGCCATAATGGATGCCATTGAAGAATTTATCCAGAAAACATCAGTGCGGGCTGTGAAGAAAGTCAAAGTTGTTATCTCCCAGTCTCATATCCTGAGTGTTTTTTATGACAACATGAAAGACAGAGAAGGCTCCCCAGCTTCTCCCCAGACGTCTCTACTGTCTAGGATCTCCTGTGAGTTGTTCACTTTTATAAAATACATTTTCCTTATCTTGATGCTGAAGGGAGTAAAGAAAATATTAATTTTCATTTTCTTTTTAGCCTTTTTAGGCTTTCCAAAGCACACTTCACGCAAACAGAAGACCTTGTTTTTGGAGAAGAAAACAGAGCAGACAGTTTTCCAAGTATGTGGCAAAGATGAAGACAGTGTGGAACACACGATCTCCTGGATACAGAATCTGATCGCCCAGGAGCAGCTACTCTATCGCAGTGACGATGAGTGTGTCAGAGACTTTGGAGAGAAGGAGTACAAGAAGCTGAATGAGCTGCAGGAGAGGCTGAACATCGTCATTGAGCTGGACCAGAAGGCGCCTTTGATTAAAGTTGCAGGAATCAGCAGAGATGTGATAGGAGCTAGAGATGAGATTGAAAACTTGATCAAGAGCATCCGATTGGCTAAAGAGAAGGAAAGCCAGGCAGACTATGTCCTCACATTCGTGGAATGGCGATATATTGTCAACAACATCACACACTGTTTCGACAAAATAGCTACCATGCAGTTGGAGGATGCACAGCAGGCAAATCACAAGAGCACTGTTGTCAAAATTAATAATCAGGACTTCACAGTGAACTTGAGGACAAACACGGCCACAGGCCCTCAAGGACAAAGTGTCACAGTTCAGCGCATCTTAAAAGATGAAAGTAAGTTATGTGCTCATGGGTGTCAGCCATTGTCCCACCTCTGAGTTTAACATTATTTTAGCAGGGTTTATTTTTTTTATTGTTGTTGTTTTGTTTTGTTTTGTTTTTTTTTGTTTTGTATTGCAAAATAGAATTTCTCTGAGGAACAGACTTAACTGTCCTGGCACTAGCTCCTGTTACCCTGGCTGGGCTCAAACTAGAAATCCTACCTCGGTCTCCGAAGTGCTGGGGTTAAGGGTGTGTGCCACCACCACCCAGTTTACTTTGTTTTTGAAAGTATTTTACCATGTAGCCATGCTGGCCTGAAACTTTTGTTTTGCTTTTGAGACAGTGTTTCTAGGTGGACCAGGCTGGGCTCAAATTCAGATAATTGCCTCCTTCTGCCCAATTCTATGCCCATCTTTTCTTTCATGAGCCAAATGTTACTGGGTACCAGGTCAGAAAGTGGCCTCCAGAGTCCCTGTGGATCTATCCCCAGAAAGAGAGTGACTCACTCGCTATTCACTCTCTACTGGCCTTGAACTCATGATTCCCTTATCATTACCTCTACCATTAAAGTGCTAGGATTATAAGTGTATACCACCATTCCCAGACTAGAATCATGGCTTCTAATAACCAAATGATGTTCTATAGTAAAAGTTATGCTGCCTACATTTGAGTTCTGAATAACTTTCACCCATCAACAACCAGCTATTCCAGATGTCAGACATAATTGCTCAGATCCTCTATTCTTATTGGGATAAAAAACATTTTCTGGAAGACACAACACACATGCCCACTCACCTCAGATAGTGAGCCCACAAGAGAACAAAGCCTGACAGGGTGAACCAATGACTTTTATTGAGGGTCTTACAGGTGTATGGGTGAGGGGTTACTTAGAGGAGCAGAAATGACTCAAAGACAGCTGCTGCACCAGAGCCCAGCACAGCTCGCAAAGCCATCAGTCTGAAGCATACAGCAAAGGCTGCAGGCAGATCAGCAGGTTGGAGAGCGTCCTTTCCAAGTAGCTCTGGTCTAAACCTCTTCCATGCACCTCGGTTGGTTTTTGATTTTTCCATGTACATGGTCTGGTGTCATCATTGCAGCTTGTCTTCTCTTAGAGTCAGTGCTGCATTTCTGAGTCTTCCTTGCAGCTCTATTCTGCTGGTCTCAAAGGGACTCTCAGCAGTCTTAGTGATTAATCTAGCGGCGGGGGGGGGGGAGGGAACCTAGTGAATTTGATCGGGTTTAGTGACTTCCCAGAGAGGACACTGGAGGTCATCTGTAAGTTCTCTCTTATTTCTGTGTGAATGCGTGTTTCATATCTCCCCTGAAGCTAAGAAGAGAGTGCTAAAAAAGAGAAAGCACCAGATAGTGATAGATGGCAAAACTATGGCCATTTTCCTGGAAACCACGAAAAAGCCAGTGGAGGAATTGAGACCCAGACATCCATCTCTGAGACAGACAGCTGAGATCCACAAAAGCAAGATGCCAACAACGGCTTCCAGTTCCTGCCTACCATCCCCGCTACTAGTTAAGCTCCAGAAGTCCATGCCCTATGTCTACAGCAAACTAAAAATATACTTTGAGAGCCGGAATTCAGAAGGCAGGGAGTGTGGTGTTCAGCCCATGGGACCCAGTGCCCCCAACACATTCGAGGTGAACTTCTTAAAAAGGGCAGGTTAGTCGGGACAGCAAAACAGGGTCAGGGACAGGTGCAAAGGCAGCCATGCAGGTATTTAAACAGACCCATTCATGCTTCGAAGGAGAACACAGGAGAGTGTGGCACTGCCCCTGGGAGCCTCTACTGCCCACAGACTTCTTCCATCCCACAGCAGGGGACAGCGCTTTAGATGTGCCCAGCCCCTGACCTGGTCTGGCTGCTTCCTAGGGATAACTTCCATTTGCTATCTGAGTTGCCCATTTTCCCAGCAGACAGTCTTGAGAGGAGAAAGCAAGTTGGGATGAGGATTGGAGCAGGAACCGAGGGCCTTGTGCCAGCTAGGAAAGTGCTTCTCAAACTGAGCTATACCCAAAGCACCTTTCTGTTGTAAATAACGATTCCATTGACTTGTTTCTAAAGAATACAAAAGTAATATATGATCAGTTTTAAAAAATTAAAAGCCCGGTAGTGGTGCACACCATTATTTCCAGCACTCTAGAGGAAGAGGCAGACTTCCTCTGTCAATTCTAGGCCAGCCTGCTCTCCAAGACCTAGTTCCAGGACAGGCTCCACAGCTACAGACAAACCCTGTCTCCAAATACCAAAAACAAAAACTAAAAAAGAAAGAGAAAAAAAGAAAAAAATCCCTGCAGATGCACTGTGGAAACATGGGGAAATTCTCATGTATTCTTTTCTGTGAATCAGCTAATTATTGTACATTTAATTATTCTAAGCTTTTTGGTTATTAGTTTTCAGGGGGTTCCCAACTTAAATATACAGGGAATATTATTCTATGTCATAGAAATTAGAATTAGAGACAATTACAGCATAGATTTGCTGTTACCTCTCTGAGACAGAGTTTCATCATATGTTCTTGGCTGGACTTGAACTCATGATCCCTTTACCCTTATCTCTACCATTAAAGTGCTAGGAATATGGGTGTATACCATCATGCCCAGAGTATATACGTGGCTTCTAAAAAACAAATGATGTTCTACAGTAAAGCTTAAGCTGCCTATTCTTGAGTTCCAGATAACTTTCTCCCACTAAAAACCTGCTATTCCAGAATGCCAGACAACTGCTCAGGTCCTCTGTTCTGGAATACAAAGCTCTTCCTGGGGAAACACAACACACATGTCCACTCACCTCATATAGGAATCCCACAACAGACCAAAAGAAGGCTACCACCAAAGCCCAACATGGTGAACCAATGACTTTTATTAAGGTTACTTACAGGCATATATGGGTGAGAGGTTACTTTCTGCTCCTGCAGAAATGACTCAAAGACAGCTACAGCACCAGAGTCCAGCACAGCTCACAAAGCTGTGATTCTGGAGCACACAGCAAACGCTACAGGCAGCTCAGAAGGTTGGGGAGCGTCCTTTCCAAGTAGGTCTGGTATAAACCTCTGCTAGGCAATGTGGTTTGTTTCTGATTCTTTCAGGTACAGGTCAGTTGTCATCATTGCAGCTTGTCTACTCTTAGAGTCATTACTGGTTTTCTGAGTCTTCCTTGTGCTCTGTTCTGCCAGCTCAGACCGACTCTAGGCCGTTTTTATTGATAACTCTAGCAAGGAGGAACCTAGAGAATCTTGTCAGTTTCAGGGAATTCCTCAAGCTATTTTAATTGGTTTACCTTCTGTTTTTAGGTGCTTACCTTCAGGACAGAATGATTTGATCCTGAGGAAATTTAGACAGTAATCCTACATCATAGGGTTCATCCAACTAAATAATACAACATAATATGTATTTCCAGAGTGCTTACCTTGTGTGATGGATTAAAGTCATCTACAGATTCTTAAAAGTCTATGGAAGGTTAGGTGTGGTGACATATGCCTTTAATCCCAGTACTCTAGATGCAGAGATAGGCAGAAGTTTGTGAGTTGAAGTCCAGCATGGTCTATTTAGGGAGTTCCAGGGCAGTAAGGACTCCATAGTGAGACCATATCTCAATCAAATAGACAAAAACAAGCAAACAAAAAACACATGGGAGAATATGGATAGCTTGTGTGAAAGTCCTGCATATAAGGGACATCTCTGGATTTTGGTGTCTTCAGAAGTTCCTAGAATCAACTCAGAGAGGACACTGGGGTGTCATCTATAAGTTTGCTCTCATTGTGAATGTGTGAGTTTTATGTCTCCCCTGAAGCTAAGAAGAGAGTTCTGAAAAAGAGAGACCATGAAATGGTGATTGATGCCAAACCTGAGGCCATTTTCCTGGAAACCACAAAAAAGCCAGTGGAGGGCCAGAGACCCAGACCTTCATCTTTGACACAGTCTCTGGATGAAGCATCATCTGATGAAGAGCTTGGTTATAATTCTGATGACACTATTGTCCATATGGTGAGTGTTGACAGAAGAGCTGGCACTGTTGCTACAACTGCCCCTAGGTCACCACTTCAGCTCTTTTGGTTCAGCAGACTTAGCTGGGCACTAGCTGTGAGCTAGGTCCTGCTCTAGGCACTGGGCTACTGAAGTGAATAAACAGGGACAAGATTCCTGTCCTCATGCAGCCTGTAGTGAGTAAGGGGGTCTGCAGACTGTAAGGAAGTGAATGAACTGAGGGAAAGCACTTCAAAGACAGAGATGTGGTAGGAGAATAAAAAAGGAGTTTTGCGTCAGAGAGGAACAGGGTGAAGGCATGCAAGGGGAAGATGGGAGACCTTCTTGCTGAGGTGACATTGAGCCTGAGGCTTAAATGATGAACAGGCACCTGCCATTAAAAAATGCATTCAGTAAATGATAAGGCTGGGTAAGGTGTGGCAGGCACTGTCATGGGGCTTGGGGCACAGACACAGTGTGGACTGCTCTTAGGGCCTTGACATCGAGTAAGGGAAACAAAGAAGAGTAAACAGATGTATTATAGAATTCTGTCCAGTGACAAGTGCGGGAAGAATAAAGGAGGATGAGAACAGTGACAGAGCCACCATCCTAAACAGGGTGTAAACAAACAAACCCACATGATGCTTCATCTAGAGAACATGAGTAAATTAAAGGACCTAGTGTGGGGTCCAAGGAAACGCTGAAGGAAGACCCCAGACTCAATCAGAATGTAAGAGCAAGGAGTGATTTTTATCAGCATATGTGAGGCCGTCCACCTGTACAAAATGGCGACAACCCAGAGGGGAGCAGGCAGGCTTCTTTTAAGCACAGCTAAGGGGAGTTTTGGTGACAGTTAGGTCACCTCAAATATAATTGGTTAATCAATCAACAGTTGCATTAGTACAATTTAGTTGGCTGTGGTTATAGTTATACCATTTTGCTGCATACTTGGGCAAGGCAGTGCATGTTTGTTTTAGGGAGCTTACTGGAACTGTCCTTTTTGGTCACTGCTTTGAGGTACTGTAGGAGGTGCCTCAGGCCTGGTGCTTGCTGTCTCGCTCATTGTCCTTTTAGGAAACTGAAACTCAGGCCCAGCTGTAAAATAGGAAAAGTCAGACCTTTCTCTAGCTTCCTGGTTTTGCAGTAAGAACATTCTAGGCTGAGGGAAGCACATGCACAGGCCTCACAGGAACTGAAGCTCAATGAGGCAAGAGGAGGGGGAGGCAGTGAGCAAGGGAGAGAGCTAAGGACAGGAAAGGGTACTGTGTGACAGGGTGTAAGATTTTAAATCCAGTAGGGAATTTCACCTGATATTTTTGAGCCTCATGATAAGGGATCTTGATTGAACTTTTTTTTAAAAAAATTATTTATTTTAGTGTATGAGTGAGTGTTCTACCAGCATGTAGGGCTTATGCTAGAAAGGAGCATCAGAGTCCAATACTGATGGTTGTAGGAACTGAACTCAGGTCCTCTGGAAGACCAGCAGTGCTCTTGACTTAAAAAAAAGCACCCAAATACACACTTTGTGATATATCAAGTCAATGACTTTAATTGATTTGCCTAATCAGCCTCCAGAGAAAAAGCAGTATGTCTTCAAAAGAATGGGACTGTCCCTATTGTCTGGAGAGAGAATAAATGTGGATCACGAGACACCCATGGATATCGACAGGAATGACGCAAATGCAGCTTCACCTCCTCTCAGAGGCTCTGCTGACAGCTCTGGGGCCTTGAAGGGGAATGATAATGAAGATTCCTGTGCCATCTGCATGGATACCATTATCAACAAGCGTGTGCTCCCTAAGTGCAAGCATGAATTCTGCTCCTCTTGTATCACCAAGGCCTTGTCAATCAAGCCTGTCTGTCCTCTGTGTCAGATGTCCTACGGTATCCAGAAAGGGAACCAGCCAAAAGGAACCATGACTTTTACCACTTCAAGACAGTCACTACCGGGTTATGAAGACTGTGGCTCAATTGAGATTCACTACATTATAGAAAGTGGCATCCAAACAGTAAGTGTACCAGGGAACGTGAGGTTCTTTTGACTCTGCTAGAGTTCCAGCACCCAAGGGGTCGTCCTGTAGCCTCTTAGACACTGATTTTCCTGGGAACTCATTAGGTGATTGTGGTAGGGACATAATAGCTAGAGGCCATACTGTTCACTTAGAACTTGGATGTCTTTTCAGCTGTTTCAACAGTGTTGGGGCTGAACGCAGCCCCTTGTGCATGCCAAGAAAGCACTGCCAAGCTGTGCATCTAGACTTTCATGTCTTTTTTTTAAGGTAGAGACTATATGTCAGGATGGGGGGAGTTGGGTGGGTACGACTATAATCTAAAGAGGAGAACTCTGAATTATTCAGAATATGAGCCAAACAACATTTTGTTCCTGGTTTTCATAGGCTTCACCTATAATGCACACACCTTTAGTATAGCAAATTTCAGAGGCATGCCATTTTTTATCTAACATTTTCCTTTCCTCATACAGGATGAGCACCCAAACCCAGGAAAGCCTTATAGTGGAACACGACGAACTGCATACTTGCCTGATAATCAGGAGGGAAGACACGTCTTGGATCTACTCAGAGAAGCCTTTATCAAAGGGCTGATTTTCACAATACGAGACTCTCGAGTACCAGGAATGTCTGATGTCGTTACATGGAATGGCATCAGTCATAAAACATCCACGTTTGGAGCACCAGGAAAGTAAGAGCGCTTTGAAATGTAATGGTTGCTGAACAAATTATAGGGAGTGTGAAGTGCTGCAGTATGAGGCTGTGGTATGAAACAACATACTAGCAGTAGATGTTAGCCCAGTGTCTTAGTTAGGGTCTGTTGCTGTGATAACCAAAAGCACCTAGGGAAGAAAGGGTGTATTTGGTTTACATCTCCTGAGTCATAGTCACTGAGGGAAGAGAGGAAGGAACTCAAAACAGGCAGGAAACTGGAGGAGCTGATGCAGAGGCAGTGGAAGAATGTTACTTCATGGCTTATGCCCCATGGCTTGTTCAATCAGCTTTCTTATACCCACCCATGACCACCAGCCCAGGACTGGCACTACTGACAATGGACTGGGCCTTTCCCACATCAATCACTAATTATGAAAATGAGCCAGGTGCTGGTAGCACATTCTTTAATTCCAGCTCAAGGAAGTCAGAGACAGTCATATCTCTGTGAGTATGAGGCCATCCTGGTCTACAAGAGCTAGTTCTAGGACAGTCTCCAAAGCTACAGTGAAAGCCCTGTCTCAAAAAACCAAAAAAAAAAAAAAAACAAAGAAAAAATACTAATCTATAATGATAACTTCAAAGAGAAAAAAATGGTTTGAGGTGGGTAGTGGTAGAATGTGCCTTGAATCCCAGAATTTGGGAGGCAGAGACATCTGGATATCTGAGTTTGAGGCTGTCTTGAAAAAAAAAATTGATCCCTCCAACCTTCTATTCTGCCATTCATAATATATGACTTGGTTATTAAATTTTGCATCAAAGCTGAGCAGTGGTGGTGCACACCTTTAATCCCAGTACTTAAGAGACAGAGGCAGGTGGATCTCTAGTTGGAGGCCAGTCTAGTCTGCAGACAGAATTTCATGACAGTCAGGTCTACACAGAGTAACCTTGTTTCTATGCCACTCCCAAAAATGCATCAAAAGATGGGGTTTCAGAACCCAAGATGAATGGTGCCCAAGTTGATTTAATTTTAATGTTTCATGTCAATTTGAAAGGTAGATCCTAAGAATACTTGCTTTGACTTTTAAAAAATGTTTGTTCTTATTTACGTTTTTGTTTTGCCTACATTTATGTCTGTGTGAGGCTGTCAGATCCCCCGAAGTTACAAACAGGTGTGAGCTGACATGTGGGTGTTGGGAATTTAACCAGGGTCTTCTGGAAGCACAGCCAGTGCTCTTAACCTCTGAGCCATGTCTCCAGCCCTGCTTTGATTTCTTTTAAGGTCATCTTACTCTTCCTCACTCACATCTTCCCATAAGTCCACAAAGAGGCTAAACTCACATGGATGAAACATGGTAGAAAGAAAGTCTTCATTATAAAGAGCCCCAAGATGGTGGGCGATGTATCCCAGGAAATCTGACTATACTTCATAAATCTCAGAGTTCCTGTACTTGTGGCATCCAAAAGAAAAATATCCTGAGACCTTGTCAAGTTTCCCATTTTGAAAGTCCTACTATAGTATGATTACCTTCTCTGTAGAATTTGAAAGTCCTACTATCGTATGATTACCTTCTCTGTAGAATTTGGCTTTTATAACATTATGTGCATCCGTACTTGGAATGAGCTAAGGTGTTAAGCAATGTGTGGAAAACAGATGCTGTTCAGTTAGCTGGACACTTCAGTGACTAGATACCAGCCACTGTCTGATTGCCTGAGGATGCTGGATCTCAGAATATTAGATGCTCAGATGTAAACTGTACAGATTTTGTTGTTGCTGTTTAGAGGCAGGGTCTCACTGTGTGGCCCAGGCTGGCTTCAGACTCACAGAGATCTGACTGCTGTCACCATCCCAGTGCTGGGATTAAAGGCCTGTACCACTATACCCGGCTATTGTACAGATTCTTGAGAATTATTTGGGGGGAAGCTAACAGGATTCCTTTTTCTTCATGCAGTTCTGGCTACCCCGATCCTCATTACCTGGCATGCGTCAAGGAGGAGCTGAAAGCAAAAGGAATTGAATTAGGAAAGCACTGGGAAGACGTCTGTCCACTTTCAAGAGAAATTTGTTTGGAGGCCGCAGTAGGATAGGCCTCAATCTTTGTGCAGAATAAACTTTGTAACAGTTTTCATGTTAAGTAGATGTAGTTTCTAATAAAAGCAGAAGTCTGCTTGCCGGTCATTTCTAGAGTGTTTCTCGTTCTTGGAAGGCAAAATATGAAGGGCATGTGCTGGGGAGATCATAACGTGAGAACACATGAGCTCAGACCCGCAGCACCATTGTAAGAGTTGGTGCGATGACATACACTTGTAAGATTAGCCCTGGCGAGTGGAGACGGAAGGATTCCTGGAGCTCACTGGCTAGTTAGTCTAGCCAAAACCAAACCATGGGCTCCAGGTTCACTGAGAGACCTTGTCTGAAGAAATCGGGTGCATCTGGGCAATGTGGCACATGCCTTTAATTCCAGGAATTGGGAGGCAGTGGCAGGCTATCCCAGGCCAACCTGGACTTCATAGCCCAAGTTCCAGGACAGCCAGGGCTATATAGTGAGACCCTGTCTCAAAACAAACAAAGCAAATTTGAGGGTAGACAGAAATAAAGACATCTAACATCACCCTCTGACCTCTAAATGCACCTGTAAACACACTCACACCTGTGCATACACAGAGAGAAAAGTTTTAGGACAGAAAAACATAAAGGATTTCAAATTTTTGCTGAGGAAGTCTGATCTCATTCTTGAGTTCTATCAGGGGTGCTGCCCAGTATGAAGTCACCTTCTGTATCTTTCATTGAACCTCTGGCAACTAGTAGACCCTCTCCTGCTGCTTGTTTTCTTGATACATGGTCTCTCTGTGCAGCTCTTGAACTCTCTTTGTGGACCAGATTGGTCTTGAATCTCTATCTGCCTGCATCAGCCTTCTGAGAGCTGGGGTTAAAGACTGGTGCTACATGCCTGATTGTATTTGTTTGTTTGTTTTATTTTTTTGTCATTGCCTTTTGCTTTTGGTTGATTTGGTTGATTTGGTTTTGGTGTTGGTACTTAAGCCCAACATCAATTTGTTCCATTCCAAGACCTTTGATCATGTTCCATGGCTATCTTTCTTGTAGAATGTTAGTTGTTTGGTTTTTACTTTAAAAGTAAAACCCTTGTGTAAATGTTAAAGTGAAACCATTGTGTAAATGGAAAGTTTAAAAACAGGATTGACTGGAAAAGACCACCACTTCCCTCCCTACAGTGAGAAATATGCCCACGAGGTCAGGCAACCTTTTATATTAAGTAGAACAGGAAGACTCTTGTGTGTCAGGATATAGAACCTTGTAGACAGTTGGTGCTTGGTGTGTATTTGTTGCTCAGCCAGGTTCAATTGCTATACATAAGGTTATGTAGTAGATCACCTGACATTTAGAAGGCCAACCCACCAGAGACTTATGCGTCTGCTGGAGGTTAAATTCACATTGTCACAGCCTGTGAAAAACACTGCCTTTTTAATTGCTGGCTATCTCCCCTGCAGTGTATTCCTTATGTTGGGCAGAGTTTTCCTGTGTTCTCTTAGTAGGATGACTTTTCCCCAAACTGTATATCCTCACAAATAAAATAAGACACTCAAACCTTTTGCCCCACACTGCCATAAAAAAATAAACTTAGAAGCCTGTTCTCTATAATTACCTCCCTGACAGGATGATTGGGCCAGAGGGAAGTCCTTCTGGAGAGATCACAGGAGGAAGTTTCACATAGTGGAATTGCAGGTGTCTAGCCTTGCTAGATCTTGTCCTTCAAGATTTATGATGAATTAGTGTGGTATTGCAAGTGTCTATCTTTGGAGTATCATAGTCCTTGAAGAGATCAATAGCACCTAGCTGACCAACCATGTCCAGATATTATTAATCACACTTAAGAAATGTAAAATAATGCACATATTCTTATTTTTTCTTTAGATCTCTCAGTATTTTTTGTAACCTATAGTGGCCTCTTTAAGAGACAGCTGGACGGCTGGAACGTTGCCACAGCTGCAGCTGCTGTTAACTGATAAGATTTTCTATGTATCTCAAAGAATACCTGTGTCCCCAAGAATCTGACTTGTAGCTTTTCATTAACAACAAATTGTTAGTGAATGGCTATATATTCGCTTGGGAATTTGTAACAGCTAAAGAAAGAAAATTGGAAGAGTAAAGAATGTAGAAGAATAAAGAATATAGAAAAATGAAGAAGCCTCACAGCCTTGGCTGCCAATGCTGACTTAGAAAGACCTCTTTTAAAGGATCCGTGGTGTCCCTGCTTACCACCAGCAAATGGAGCCCATAGCCCCCCAAAATGCTGACTACCAAAAAGCCATGCTTGAATATGTTCTTTTGTTTCTAGAATTTCTTTCCAAGCTTTTTCAGGTTTTAATTTTTTTCAGGTTTTTTATTTCCTCCTAAATTTTATTTTTGTTTGAATCTTCTTATTTATTGTATATCTGTAAAGCTTTTTAAAATAACTTTTAAAATAATACCAATCAAAATTTCTTCTTCCTTCTTTCCTCCCACTTTCCTCCTATTCCCCAACTCTTCCTCCCTCTCTCCCTCTCAGGTCCTGAGAGATGGCAGGGTACCCTGCCCTGTGGGAAGTCGAAGTTCCTCCCTGCTCAATCCAGGCTTAAAAAGGTATGCATCCAAATAAAATAGGATCCCCAAAGGCCAGTACATGCAGTAGAGAAAAATCCCAGTGCCATTATTATTGGCTTCTCGGTCTGCCCCAATTGTCTGCCACATTCAGAGAGTTCAGTTTGATCCCATGCTTATTCAGTCCCCGTGCAGCTGGATTTGGTGAGCTCCCATTAGCTCAAGCACACTGTCTTAGTGGGTGCACCAACACCTGGTGGTCCTGACTTCCTTGCTCATGTTCTCCCTCCTTCAGCTCTTCAACTGGACCTTGGGAGCTCAGTCCAGTCCTCTGGAGTGGGTCGCTGTCTCTATCTCCATCCATCACTGGACAGAGGTTCATATTCATATATTTGGGTCTGGGTTATCTCACACGGGATAGTGTTTTCTATTTCTATCCATTTGCATGCAAAATTCAAGATGTCACTCTTTTTTTCCTGCTGAGTAATACTCTAATGTGTAGATGTGCCATACTTTCTTTATCCATTCTTCCATTGAGCTATATCTAGGTTGTTTCTAGGTTCTGGCTATTACAAACAATGCTGCTATGGAACATGGTTGAACAAAAGTTTTTGTAGTATGATTGGGCAGCTCTTGGGTATAGGATTGTTTGGCTATCTTGGGTTTTTGTTTTTCCATACAAAATTGATTATTATTCTCTCAAGGTCTGTGAAGAATTTTGTTGGGATTTTGATGAGGATTGCATTGAATCTATAGATTGCCTTTGGTAGAATTGCCATTTTTCCTATGTTGATCCTACCAACCTAAGAGTATGGGAGATCCTTCCATTTTTCTGGTATCCTCTTCAATTTTTCTTCAAAGAATTAAAGTTTATGTCAATAGATCTTTCACTTCCTTGGTTAGCGTTACTCTGAGATATTTTGTGCTATTTATGGCTATCATGAAAGGTGATGTTTCTCTGATTTCCCTCTCTGCTTCTTTATACTTTGTGTATAGCAGGGCTACTGACTCATTTGAGTTGATCTTGTACCCTGCCACATCACCGAACATATTTATCAGCTGTAGGAGTTCTTTGATAGAATTTTTGTAGTCACTCATGTACACTATCATATCATCAGCAAAGAACTAAAGATTGACTTCTTCCTTTCCAATTCAAATCCCTTTGATCTCCTTATGTTATCTTATTGCTATTGATAGAACTTCAAGCACTATGTTGAAGAGATATTGAGAGAGTGGACAGACTTGTCTTCTTCCTGATTTTGTGGAATGGCTTTGAGTTTCTCTCCATTTAATTTGATGTTGGCTCTTGGCTTGCTCTATATTGCTTTTTTATATTTAGATATGATCCTTGTATCCCTAATCTATCCAAGACCTTTATCATAAAGGGGTGTCGCATTTTGTCAAATGCCTTTCAGCATCTAATGGAATGATCATATGTTTTTTTTCTTTCAGTTTATTTATATGATGGATTACACTGATAGATTTTTCATATATTGAACCAGCCCTGCATCTCTGGGATGAAACCTTCTTGAACATAATGGATAATTCCTTTTTGATGTGTTCTTGGATTCAGTTTGCCAGTATTTCATTGAGAATTTTTGCATCGATGTTCATGAGTGAGATTGGTCTGTAATTCTCTATCTTGATTGAGTATTTGTGTGGTTTTGGCATCAGGGTAACTGTAGCTTCATAAAAGGGGTTTGGCAATGACTCCTGTTTCTATTATGTGGAACTCATTAAGGAGTATAGGCATTAGCTCTTCTTGAAAGTTTTGATAGAATTCTGCACTAAAACCAACTGATCCTAGGCTTTTTTTGATTGGGAGGTTTTTGATGACAGCTTCTATTTCCTCCCAACTTACAGGTTTATTTAAATTGTTCACCTGCTCTTGATTTAATTTTGGTATACGTTATTTATCTTAAAAATGTCCATTTCTCTTACATTTTTCCAATTTTGTGGCATACATGCTTTTGTAGTAAGACCTAATAATTCTCTGAATTTCCTCAGTGTCTGTGGTTATATCCCCCTTTTCATTTCTGATCTTGTTAATTTCTTAATTTGAGTGTTCTCCCTCTTCCTTTTGATTAGTTTGGATAGGGGTTTGTCAATCTGGTTGACTTTTTTCAAAGAACCACTTCTTTGTTTCATTGATTCTTCGGATTATTTTGTGTTTCTATTTTGTTGATTTCAGCCCTCTGTTTGATTATTTCCAGTCTTCTACTTCTCCTGGATGTGTCTGCTTCTTTTTTCTGGAGCTTTCAGGTGTTCTATTAAGTCTCTAATGTGAGATTTCTCCATTTTCTTTATGTGGGCACTTAGTGCTATGAACTTTTCTCTTAGCACTGCTTTCATAGTTCCCATAGTTTGGGGTATGTTGTGTCTTTATTTTCATTGAATTTAAGGAAGACATTAATTTCTTTCTTCCTTGGTCCAGGGGTGGTTCAGTAGTTGACTCTTCTTTTTGCAACCCTTTACTCTGAGGTAATGTCTGTCTTTGAGGTTGAGGTGGGTTTCTTGTAAACAGCAGAATGTTGGATCCTGTTTTCGGATCCATTCTCTTAACCTGTGCCTTGTATTGGTGAATTGGATTCATTGATATTAAGTGATATTAATGACCATTGGTTGTTAACCCCAGTTATTTTTATGGTGGTGGTGTTTGTGTGTTTCTCTTCTTTGGTTGAGTTGGTGGAGAGTTGTCAGAT